AATCGGTCCCCGACCTTTCAATTCTACCAAACCGTTCTTTGATCTCTTGATTTACTAGCAGATTTCGTGTTTTTAATAGCAAAGTCCAAATTTAGAAGGGAAAAGAAGCACGAGTGATCATCGTGCTTGGCTAATTGACCGAAAGATAAGAAAGAATTGTCTCAAATGGGAGAGAAGAAAGCGGATTAATCTCTAATTTCGTCCGTCTCATTTCTGTGCTAGGAATTAGGATTTCATCAAAATTGGGGCTTTTCGTTTTGGTTCTTTAACGGAGCCACCTATATGTTACGAGTTTTTTTTTTTTTTTTTGAAAAGTGATGAAATTGAAGATTATGATTTTTGTTTATAATTTTTATTCGAAACGTGTTGGATGGTGTGCCATAGTGTATTTATTTATTTATTATTTATTTATTTTTAGCGATTGTATTTACAATTTTTTACCTACTACACAAGCACCTCATTTTTTGTCGATAAACCACAACCAAAGAGCCAAAAAAGAAGTATTAAATTGGGTGTTCTGGGTCATTCATTACAGCCAATTTCATCCAAAATCTTCCAGATATTTTTCCCCATTTTTGAATCTAATTTTTCACTCCCAATCCCTTTTATTTTTCCCTCCAAAATACTAATTACCCTTCAAACTAACCTTACCTTGATGGCACATGCTTCTTTCAATTCGAAATTCAGTCTCTTATCAATTAGGTAAAATATTCTAGTAAATCCAAAAAATCATGGAGAGGGATTTTTCAAATTAAATTAAAAGGTTGTGGACTAATTTGTCACCATCCTAAAGATCAAATAATGATGTAAGACACTGATATTATTTAGCATCACTCACTGATAGAAGATGAGTCTCATGATACGGGGCCAACAAAAAGGACACACTTTCTATTAATAGTGGTGCCTGCACCACCGATGATGCTTCTAAACATTTTTTAAAAGATCAAAGACTAAGTGTGATGATTATAATTTTTTTTTTTTTTTTTTTTTTTTTTTGGTTGTAATCACGAATTAATAACTTGCAGTGTCATCGTATAATTCACCTGAAAATACCTTCCATTTCCAACTAAACTTCATGCAATCTCATCCATCAAACTATTAGCATATTATGGTGTCTCATATATTGACAATATTAACCTCTTTGTTTGTTTCCCATACAAAAGAGACATTTCTGTAGAACCCAATCAAAAGTGGTTCTTCCAGATGAGATAAGATTCCATTCTGCTCGCAACTCAGAACATACAAAAGGCTAAGCAACAAACGTTTGTACGAATTTGGCTTGAAGCCTTGGATTCAAGCCAATGCCTGTTTTCTATAACAAGGTAAAAGAGGAATCTATTTTTGCCCTTCTCAGCTGTGGAAGGGCATAAGAAATTCACGTGATTTCAAAAGGTGGAAAGGGTGAACAGCTGTAAATATGTTCGACCAATTTTCTAAAAAGTTTAGGGACTTAAGACCGTTTAGTTCGTTGCTTTGAGTTTTTAATTCGAGTTAAGATATGACTTTATGTAAGAGCTTTTTATTATAGTATAAAAGTTAGATGTTGTCGTTTTTTAGAGCTTTTTACTGTAACAAAACTCAAATTTTAAATTTAAATCGGTAAAATAAACGGGGCCTAAAAACTACTTGTTCAAGACATTAAAAAAGGTTAAAAAAAAAACCACTGTCTAAGCATATTATAATACTTTATTATATTTCATTTGATATAATTTAAATTTGATCAAACATTTAAAAGTTGCATTTGATTTTCATAATTAAATTATTGTCTTACTAGTAATTTTTTTTTTGATACGTGACAAAAGAATTATCCAAATTAAAAAGAAAAATAACGGGTGGTACTTTTTTTTTTTTTTTTTCTAGACTCATTTCACTAGATCGGTTGGATCCATCTTTTCCCCTTTCTTGTACGTATGAAGAATTAAGAAGCTTCTTCCTCACTCGATTGAAGTGCCAAAATCCATGGTTCTACTTTCCCAGTTGCACGTAGTTTCGCTTTATAACCTGTCAGAATACAGAAGCTTGTTAATTCTTTTCTTTTATTTTTTCCAAAAAAAAAAAAAGAAAAAGAAACTTGTTAATATCATTTTCATTGAGGGAAAAAAGAAAACAAACACTCGCAACAACTGCTTATGTGATATTGAGCTCGATAGATGTACAATTATGTATTTTGTGTCGGTTACTTGTTTCAAAAGCTTCAATATTTAGGATATTAATAAAGTCTCATTCACTTCGCCATTCGAGTTTTCAATTCGAGCTGAGATGTGACATTTTCTGAGAGCTTTTCACTATAGCAAAAAAAGTTAGATGTGACATTTTATGAGAGCTTTTTACTGTAGAAACCTAAAACTGAAAACTCGAATCGGTGAAATGAACGGGACAAGTTACGGATGAAAAATTGACAACTTGATCTAAATTTCTACCGAAAGTTCAAGATTTTGATACTGTCGACATTCACGAGAGGGTGCAGTTTTTTTTTTTTCAGAATATTCAGAAATTTATTTTTAAGTTTTGATATTTCATGAAAATCATCAATTTTGATAAAAAAAAACTTTTCTTTGGCAACATTTTTATTTTATTTCTTTGATATACCAGCAATATTCATTACCTAAATTTTAGTTGTTGTCGGGATCTAAGGGTGCGTTTGGTATATGGATTCAGAATCATGATTTTGAATCTTAGTTCAAAATCAGTGTTTGGTTTGGATGATTCTGAATCATTATTCAGAATCTGATGTGATGTTTTAAACTAGATCAAATCATGATTCTAAAACCATCTCCTTCTTGATTTAAGGTGATTTAAACCACTGATTCTGAATCATGGTTTCAAAATCATGATTTGAACCTAAAATCATGAATCATGGTTCTGGTTTCAGAATCATGATTAGAATCACTTTGATTTAAATTCTCATACCAAACGAACTCTAATATTTAGAAATTTATTTTTAAATTTTGATATTTCATGAAAATCATCAATTTTGATTAAAAAAAAAACTTTTCTTTGGCAACATTTTTATTTTATTTCTTTGATATAACAACAATATTCATTACCTAAATTTTAGTTGTTGTCGGAATCTAAGGGTGCGTTTGGTAGATGGATCCAGAATCATGATTCTGGATCCTGGTTCAAAATTAGTGTTTGTTTACAGTGATTTTAAATCATGATTCAGAATTAATGTTTGGTTTGGATGATTCTGAATCATGATTCAGAATCTGATGTGATGTTTTAAACTAGCTCAAATCATGATTTTAAAACCACCATCTCTTGATTTAAGGTGATTTAAACCACTGATTCTAAATCATGGTTTCAGAATTATGATTTGAACCTAAAATCATGAATCATAATTCTGATTTCAGAATCATGATTAGAATCACTCTAATTTAAATTATTGTATCAAATGAACCCTAATAGATTCGGCGGGTAGGTATGACGCGGTGGGGTATAGCAGAAGTGGTAGTCTCTAGTTCGTTTGTGGCGGTTCCCACGTGGCCAATCGAAAAGACTCGATCATGTGTAAAAGATGAGATAAAACTAGGGATCTCCAACTTGGAATAGAGTCGATTAGCCCTGAAGGAGATCAAAGAAGAACGGCTTTTAGATCCCACTTTGTTACTGAAACTACGAAAATAACACCTACAAAATCAAGAGAATAATAATGGAACAAACAGAATCGAAGAATGGTTGGAGTAAACAAATGGTTAATGGAGAAATGGTTCGGAGCTTGGTATGGAGAGACACAGGTTCTGGAATTGCTGGGAGACAAGTTAGCTCAGGAGACGAACTCGAGTTAGCTCCGGAGACAACTTTGGGAGTTTCTAGGTTATGAGTAAGAATTGAAGTTTCTTCAATGGTGGTAAAGAAGACGAAAGGTTTGAAGGATTTTTTGGGTTTCTAAGCAGTGCTCTGGAGACGAACTCGGGTCGTTTATGGAGGTAATTCCGAGAATTTCTAGGAAATGGCTCGAGCTTTGGAGGTTCTATTAGTTGTATAGATGACAAAGATTTGAAGATTTTCTGGGTTTCTGGAAGGCTTTTATGATAACTTCGAGGAACAGTCTTGAAGAGAGCTTGAGGAAGATGAAATCTGATAGCCACAAATTTGAGAGAAAAAGAAGGGAGATTTCGTGAAAGCTTGATGGAAGCTTGGCATGTCCTGGAAGGATACTCATGGTTGCCAGTTGGCTATAGCCGATTGCCGAGATTTTTGATATCACTCCCGAATACCTATTAGCAGTGGCAGAACTAGTTTTTCACTTTAGTGGGAACGTATATTAAATTTTTTTTTTTAATAAATTATCTTATTGGAGACATATAAGAAAATATATTTATTTCAGTGAGGGCATATATTATTTTAATGGAGGCTTAAGTGTAAAATTTTAAAATTTTTAAAGGTAATATTTTTTTCAAAAAAATTTAAGTGGGGGCGGCTACCCCCGCTCATCTTCAAGTGGCTCTACCACTGCCTATCAGAATTATGGTAGAATATCAACAGTCGTAGTCAATTATCGTTAGCTGTCAAAATTTTTAGTATCACGACGACATACCTCATATTATCGTGGTAGGATATCAGATGTCTCTGGTGCCTACTCTTGATATCTTAGTATGATACTATGAAAGTATATCTTATATCAAATGTAGTATATGATGCAATATTTGGTATTCTAAATAAGCTTTTTTCATATTTTAAATCAATCTAATGTATGGAGCAATAGTTTTTCTCTTTTTAAGAGAAAATGAGACAAATATCTAGATAACCAAGACCGGATAGGTTCGGTCAATTTTTTGGGTTATAGAGGTGCACTGTACTTTCTCTTTACCTAAGCGAGACATGACCCATATATTGTGGAATGAACATGTCTGGGACCCGTCATCAAAGGTAAATCATAATCTATCAATCATATATTAGAAGAAAACCAAAATATATATAAAAAAAAAAAGTAATTGTCTATTGATCTAAAACAGCCTAACAACCGGATGCTCGGACTTCAGATCAAGTGATGGTAATTGTTCTATGTTGTGACAAATGCATTATTATGGTGCTGTAGACATGGTCCATGTTTTTGGGCGGCATTTTTCGGCCTTGTAATAATACATCCAAGCTTTTCCCTCCACATAATCAATAATGGAGCTATAAATTGGAAATTCCAACATAAATGAAAATTTATAGGAAGCTATTTTAGCTGCCTATAATTTATGAAACGTGATGTACTTTTTTGGGCTACATTTCTTCGCACTTCTTCACTTGTAGGTCCTGCGGAGGCTGATTTTGTGTATAATATTTTGCAAGGTAGCGGCTAAAAGCATAGAGCTTCTATAAAGCTCACGGATTTTCAAAATCATCGTCTTTTCTCACTAATTCTAATATGATCTCTTCACATATGGACTTCGTCTGCTTTGGAAGCTCATGTTCTTTCAGAAATTTTGTCAGTTGAGCAATAGTTTGTGTTCCTTCCATGGCCAAGATTCTGTCCAAAAAAAAAAAAAAAAATACAAGTTAAATAGAAAGAATTACTTATGAGAAATAGTATTTATCATTTAACACAAAATTCGATCTGATTCTAAATCAGCAGACAAAATATGACGAGGTCAGAAGTAGAAGTAACAATATTATCGCTCATTAAGTATTAATTAAGGCATTATTTTCGTAAACATTGTTTTGAAGCTAGTGAGTCGTTATTAGTAATAGGAAGTCTTAACTTGATCAGTTTAGTCTCCGCAATGTTAATTAATGAAGCTTTTCTAATTTGAAAAATGAATTGAAGAAAAGATAGTACATGTAACAAAAAAATTTCCACTGTATTTGCGTACATGTTCTATAGCTACTGAATAAAGAACTTAGGTTAATCTTACAAATAGTTCTGGAGGCTTATTTGCAATCCCACTTTAGTGTCTGACTTTTAAAACGTCTCATAATTGGTCTTTGAGGTTTTACTTTATTTTAATTTTAATTCTTTCGTCATCTAGTTGTTAAATTTTTGACAATCTGTAGAAATTAGAAACCAAAATTGAAAATATTTAAAGTTTAGGGGCTAAAATAATACAAAAAATGAAAGTTGATTTCCATGAATATTCTCTAAATTTTAGATGTTTTACTCCATAATTTACACAGATTATGTCAAATATTTAGCACCTAGCTAACATAAAGGCTAAAACTGTAAGAGAGTAAAACTTTAAGGACTACATGTAGGACTTTTTAAAAATTAGAGACTAAAGTTAAATTGATGGTAAACTTCAAGGATCATTAATAGGATTAACCTAAGATCTTATAAGCATAATAAATTTCCCACTACTTTTCTGACTTCTAGTAAATTATCTAATTAAAATTAAGAAAAAAATAATTAAAATTATGATGCTCATTAGATGATTATTGGAGGTCAGACATAGCTCAATAAAATTGACTAAATCAAGAAAAAGTTTAGGAAGAACTATCGGTGCTAAGCATAGAAGGTGGCTACTTACAGATCCTAATACCGGGTTAGTGGGTGCAGTTGATTCCAAAACCAATGGTCCATCTATATATAGTATAATGCATAAGACTATTGACCTAAATATTTGTGGGCCCCGTAATTCGGCTGTGTCTCGTTCATAGTTTCCGTTTGACCTTATCTCAAGTCAGGACTGACGACATTTTTTGATCATTTTATTGTTGAACATGGCTAAAAATAAAGGTCTTACACTATCGTAATTAATTACCCGTTGAGTTTGCAAGCAATGTTTGACTCAGTGAAATGCAATGTGCTTCTCAGGCCCAAACTCTGGCAAAGCCAATGCTTTTGCTGCAAATAATACTTCTGGTGCTCATTCTCTGCAAGAAAAAACTCAGATTCTAGAGAAGTTATTTTGGTCACTATCCTCTTGTTGAGTTTCATCTGCTTTTTGATTTTTGACTCCTGCGCTTGCTTCCTTTCTTCCTCACTTCTGTAAAATATGGCTGATCTATGGTGTGTTCCTGTTCCAAAGTTCTGCAAAATAATATTAATTTAATTACATCCTCACGAACCATTTAAACATGCAACAAATTAAATAACAAAAATAATATATCACATAATAAAAGAGTGTATAAATCAAATAAGGAAGATATGAACTTTGACGATAAAAAATGTACACGCTACTAATATAGATGCTTTTAAATTATATGTACAAAATTTTACCGTAAAGTAGTACTAATTGGCTCATGAGTGAGAATTTATTACAAGGTAATTTCTGTTGGTTGGATCATGGGTTTCCCAGAAGAGATCACAGAGAGTTTTGTACGAGATTTTTCTCTTATCGTATATGACTTTGACAGCTTCAGTGTGGCCTGTTCCTCCTTCACTTACCTGCATATTCATGAACATATCGACTTTATGTGTGCAGACTTATACATGAGCTTGGATTAATAGTGGGTTTTGTACGTATTTTTCTTGTTTTTCTATACCTCTCTGTATGAGGGTTTTCGAAGACTTCCTCCACAATATCCTGTAGCTGATTTGACAACTCCATCTGCTCTCCCAAGTGCAGCTTCAAGACCCCAGAAGTTATCTGTGCGTACAATCATCTCACAGCAAAGTTTTAACATCACATATGATATATATATATATATGTGTGTGTGTGTGTGTGTGTGTGTGTATGTGTATGTGTATATGTATATATATACATATATATAGAGAGGGAGAGACCTCCAGCGAAGATTGCTTCGTTTAGGAAATGATGATCTTCCGGTATTACTGATGGCGTTGTTTGGGAGCTGGGAAGATCAGAAATCTGAGTCTTTATCTGAGGCAGTATTTGATACATGATATCGGTTCAAAAGGAGTTGTATTGATGCAGGTTTCAGCTATGGAGTAATAACAGCAGAAAATTAGCAAAGGACAATATGATATGCAGGCCTTAATTACAATACATATTGAACGGTTCCTATATCGTTGCTTTGTGTACAATATGTTAATTCAATGCAGAAAATATGAAGCAAGCAAGAACGTCATATGTATGTTATCTGTAAACATAGTGTTAAGCCTTATATATTATATTATTTTTAATTGACCAAAAAGGGCAACAAGTATGAACGCGTTACAAGTTTAGCGGCCGTACACGCATCGGCGAGGAAAATGAAAAGATATTGTTGAAGTGACTATGAAAAGATATAAGAATGCGCTTTCTAGCATCTTTCCGTGCTGTTTGGTTATTGTCCGCTATTATTATTATTATTATTATTTATTTTCGGTTAAATATTGTCTGTTATTCTGTTGTTCTCAATTTTATATAGACATCTTTTACTGGGCTTTTTTGTCTTTTTATATTTGGGATATTGACACTGTTAATTTCTAAATTTTGATTATAGGAATATTTTAGTCTATGAACTAATTTTTAGCAGATTAGTCTTTAAACTTTTAATTTTTGACAACTTTGGTCCCCAACATTAAAATTGATAAGCAATTTCTGAAAATTTAGATATAGATAATCTTATATTTATTACATAATGACTGAAATTTTTTACATAAATAGGTATAATAAGGGCAAAAAGTTGTAGTTTTTATCAAGTTTTAATAGTAACAAGAGAAAATTTTACGTACAACGTAATTCTTTCTGCAAAATTTTAAATCAACACATAATAGAACATGATTATTTTTGTTAAATTTCAGAAATCGTTTGTTAATTTTAGTATTAGGGACTTAAACCTCTAAAAAAAAAATTTAAAGATTCGAGTTTTCAATTCTAGTTTTATTATAGTTAAAAACTATCACAAAAAGTCACATATAATTTTTTTATTACAGTTATAAGCTCTCATATAAAATCACATCTCAATTCAAATTAAAAACTCAAATTGACAAACTGAATGTGGCCTAAGAAGTCTAGGAACTAAAATATCACTATGTTCAAAGTTCATGAATTAATAGTACCAATCATTCTTTTTACTCTCTCTCTCCCTTGACACCTTGGGACGTGTACAAGATATCTATACTATCATTTCTATCTAGTAAGTTGGATAGGATCTCAGTTTTAATGGTGTGTTGCAGTGCACCTGATCATTAGGATAAGAGAGCAAATCAAAATAAGAGTTTAATTTTTACTTTTTACGGTTGAGTTTGCCTCTAGTCAACTAGAGTTTTTTTTTTTTTTTTTAATAACTTTTATAATTTTCTCAAGGAACCACTAATAGAACTTTAATAAATTTTTTTTTTCTCAAGGAACCACTAATAACACGAATATGTTGCGGACATAATACCCTATACCTTATTAGTTATTACCTTTTTCCGGGACTCAATACATGTCTGTACGCGTACATAATACCTTATACCTTCTGATCATATGTAAGTTCAAAAACACAATTTAAGGACCTTCGTTGATTCAAATTTTTAATTCGAATTGATATGTAACATTATATAAAAACTTTTTACTGTAACAAAAAGTTAAATGTGACTGTTTTTAAAAAATTTTTACTGTAATAAAACTTGAATCGGTAAAATAAACAGGACATTAGTATGCGTAGCTTTTCAAGTCAACAACAAGAATCGGTGATCACTGTTCTAGCAAAAAAATGAAACTGCAAGACTTTCGTTTCCGACTCAAGCTCATATTACACGAGAAATACAGACGTGGAATTTTCACTCGGTTTCTGAATATACATAAAAAGAAGAAAAGTAACAATTATGTCAAAAGAAGTCACAAGATGATCTATTCGCTTTAGAATTGATACATCGTTAAATAAAGAGGTAGGAGGAGTTAAACCTTTTCCAACAAGCACTTCATTTTTATTGTAATCGTCTCTTAACAGATCACCAAACTAAACCCTTTCTTCTTCTAAACCTGTCAACGCGGTCAGTGCTCATCCTAGATTTTTCAGGCTTGTTTGGCTTTTTAGACTTCTCGAGCCGACTATCTAAACTGTTTCTAGAAATTTCTGGAAGATCAGCACCCAACTCAAATGTGTCAGAAGTTCCAGCTTCAGCTGGTTTGGTCTGACCATCAGTTTCTACTCCAATTTTCTTCGGACCATTAGCACTCGATCTTGATTTGCCAAGGGAATGTACAAACTTCTTTAGTTGTTTAATGAATTCTGGGTAGATCTCAAGATTAGAGTGTCCACCTCCACTAAGCCACAAGGGTTCGTACTTTTCCTTGCAAAGCTCCCAAAGTTGCTTCCCATGGGAACAATCCACAACTTCATCTGCTGTTCCCTACACATACAGAGAGAGAATTTATTAGCATCGATGAAAAATCTCGAAGGTATCTCAAAGTTTACGGTGCAAGCTGGTGCATGCAGATGACATGAAGGGTAATAATAAATTAAAGGAGCAACCCTATTTCAACCCGAACAAGAGCTTCGCAAAAAATGCATCATAGGATAAAATCTGATGCATTTCTGGAATATTGTTGCCAAGATACTACCATAACTTTTAGCCAGCTAAGATATATGTATGCACTGAGACATAGGAAGAACAATTAGAATCTTTCAGGTACCCACTTTCTTTATAAATCTTTCTTCTCTGCTTTTCCAAGCTTTAACCTAAAAACCTATATTAACTTGATAGTCAATCTATTTTTATACTCAAGCATGAAACTTGATTGGATTATTCGAGTTCATTTTGCTGAAACTGGAACAATGCCTTAGTAACTAATCAGAGATTCGGTGCAAATAACCCACAAAGTATCAATTTCATAAAGCTCACTAGATTTATAATCACTTAAAGAACCACTTCAATCCAGCCAACCATCAAAAGAGTCTATTCAGAACCTCAGGTGCTTACTCCAGTTCAGGATGTCTTTTTTTTTTTGGCTTTCCTAATAAGAAGTTCAGGATAGTAAGAAACTTACTTAGAATTCTGTAGTAGTTATCCAGAAATTAAACGAATTTAACGAAAAAGAACAGTTGTTTGACAAGTTACCAAATAATGGGAAAAGGGCCAAAGGGGAGACACACGGAGAAGAGAGGAATATAGTCAAAATTAAAACTGAGTTACTACTTACATGTATAACCAGAACAGGGCAATTCACTGAACTCATTTTGTCGATATTCTGAAAAGGGAAAAAAATGATTATAGGGGTAGTATACGAATGAAGTAAGCATAACAAAAGTATTAAGATAACAGACCTTGTAAATATCAAACCAGTATGTTCGCTTGACAGGGTACAACACCCGCAGCCCAGACAAAATTGGGCTATGTAAAACCACACCTCTCAAGGTTGGCAATCGTGACGCAAGATCAACTGTTGGACCACTACCAACAGACTGGCCATACAATATCAATTGTTCATCTTTAACTCCATACTGCTCCTTGAGACATTTATATGCTGCATCAATGTCTGCATATGTATTGTATTCTGTCGGCTGGTTAAGGGGGAAAAAGACAGTACTATTACTTGATGAGCCATCGATTACATACTAAGGAGTGTCTGGAATTATTCTCAAACAATTATCCACAAATCGTATCGAAAAAGCATCATAATGTATCTTTTATTATATTCTATCGTTTTGTTTTTAATCAAAACATGTCAGTTTCTAAAACGCAGAATGACCTCTAAACATAAAAATTATAAAAAGAAAAACCATAATAATCAAAGGGAACGCAATATGCAGATTGTTGGTCGGGTCCAACAGTAACATTATAAAAATCTATTCTTTTTACAATCCTTTCAACGAAATATGCAGATTGTTGGTCTACTATGCAAAAAGGGTAACATTATAAAAATCTATTCTTCTTTTTACCATCCTTTCAAGTGCAATATATCCTCCGCATTTTAGAAACAATGGCACATTTTCATAACAAAATGGAATATAAATATAAAATTATACATATCAACAAAGATATAAAAAGAAACAAACAAAAGAAGAGACAACGCATGGTTTATCAGTGAACCCTTTACTGCTAAACATTGCCTCATTTTATTGTTAGAAACTCGGAACCAAATTTTTCATGCTTGTTACATGCTATATAATCCTGCATGCCTGGAATTAGGCATTTTAAAAGAAAAAATGGCCACATGGAGTATGATATTGACACATTGGAATGCATTAAGAAAATCCATGGATGCATTAAGAAAATCCATGGATGCATTAAGAACATGTAATCCATCAAAATAGGTTACATTTTTCAGCAAAAAAATGTTGACGGATAGATACACTGATAATGTTAAAAAAATAAAAAATAAAAAAACCTCATGTTTATTTCCAATCATTGGGAAACTATGGATGGGAGCTCAGAATCTAACCTTTCCAGTTGACTGTCCGTAGCCAGAGTAATCATACCTACAAAACCCATGTCAAGAGATTGAGAGTGACTCAACAAGATAGTTGGAGAAACAGATGGTATTGTACTCAAAATAAGTCAATTTTGCCTTTGCAGTAACTTTAATCTCTAACTAGTTTATATGTGTTTTAACGCCTGTTGCACAAAGTAAGATTTCATAAGAACTTTTTTTTTTCCCCTTTTATTATCTAGTAAAAATAAAAATACCAAGTAATTTAATTTCATATCCAAAGTACAGTAAAATTTAAAAATGTATATGAATGAAAGCACCACATAACTTGAATTACAATTTTCCCCAGATGGGGATTGAAAGACGCAAAAAATGCAAGAGGACAAAAAGGTCAACTGGGCCCTAATGATACTTTCATAAAACTAATTTGAAACATTGAAAATAACATAAGAATATTTTCGAATAAAACAGGATTTTTTCTTTTGTTTTTTCCAAATCCATCAGAATACGAAAATAATGATTAATGTAAGGACGTCAATTTTGTGGGTGAGAAACCAGCAAAAGAAACCTAGCACACACCTTTAATCTTTGAGGAGATATATATATCACTAACATGCAGACAACATTCTATTGTGCAAACCTGAAGCAATACATATCCTACAGAGCACAGCTATATTTCATATCTGAAGTATGATTGAATAACTCAATTTATATGTCTATATATACATAGAAATGTGTAAAGCTGAACATAGCACAAAAGGATACGACGCCATCATTCTTCAGAACTTTGGACTAGGAGCATGCATGGGAAACACTTAGAGGGTGCGATTTTGTTTTGTTTTCATTTTTATAACTCACTTTTTAACATAGCTAGTCTTTGAAACATTTGAATGCTTATAAGCCAAGTATGTGTGCAAGAAGCTGGTTTGTGACTAAGTCTTTAGATACTTTTTGGTTATAAGCACGATAGTATTAGACAGCCGCAAGAACGGAACTTTTTTACAAGCTGGATGTCTTAAATGAACATTCTTCTCAGATATAAAATTTAACTAAAAATGTGAAGTATGCTACAAATTCAGAATGTGGGAGTTTCATTAAGCCAAAAGTCATGAGTAATCACTTCACTTAGATTCTATGATATAGGCACGTAAGCACTAAATCGGGTCAAGCAAAAGTGAGGGTGGACATCACCCAACGTAGCCCAAACCTAACTAATTGTAATGGAAGCTCTAGAAATCAAATGTTACCATTTCGTCAATCCATTCACTCGGTTTAGAAAAACATCAAGGGAATGCCCCCTTGGACAAGAAATAAGACCAACGGCGGACCTATACTAGTTAAAAGTACAGAAGGATTGCTGAAAACTTGGAAGACAGATCCAATAATATAGTGTGATACTAATCACAACGCACACTGAAATGGCAGTATTTTTTTTTTCCCTAGCCATTCAGCAAAGACAAGAAAATTATGAGTAACACAAATATTATCCAGAATTTCTCTTCTCCTAACATAACACGTAAAGGATCCATCCAATGACCAGGTAAGCTTCACTATATACCAGAAAAATGAACAGTCACGTTCCTCAAAAAAGCCAAACCCTCATCCGATCGTTAATAGTAAGCGTAAAGGTGCCATTTATAATGCATTCAATTCTCTTTTCTCTGAACCCTTAGGTAATGAGCTCCCACCTATTTGACTTATGCTAATTTGTTTTCTAAGTTGGAGCAGTTTCATACTCATTTTCTATCCATCCCCCTATCTTGAACGGAAAATGGATTCAACCAGCACACGAAATAGACAGTTCAGCCATAAACAGAGCTACAGCTGCCCCCAACAACTGTCCTGGTCGTAAAGTCACCATAACCAAACCCCATGGTTTCAGCTTCAAATCCTCTTATAACCAGAACATAAGAATGAGCTTCAACTAATTCGACTACAACAAGTAACTTCAAGTTAATTGCAATAGTTTTTCTGTGTTTCGCAGGCCAACATTTAATCAGAACTAGCTTCAACTAACAATTTTAACACATGAATTTTGGATTACCAACAAACAATAGAAGAAATTTCAAAGTCCAGAATATAATCCTATGTTATTATAGCTAAAATATTAAGCTTCAAACAGAAGGCAGTTTGGTTACCCCATGAGATTAACGCGAAGCCGAGCGCTCAATTCGACGAAGAGCTCGAACATCTGGCCCAAGTCGGCGGCATTTCCATGGGAATAGAGAAGAGTGGCGGAAGCCCTAGGATGCTTGACGTGGACGGCCACGATTTCGTTGCCGCGGCGAGTCCTGAGCTTGAGGACGTCGACGTCGTCTCTCCTCGGAATCTCCGGAATGTGGAACCGACCGCCGCGGGAGTCGTCGGCGACAAGCGTGTACGACGGCGGATTCGGAGGAAAGAAAGCGAATTTGGCGGCGATTGACGACGTCACTCCGCCCATATTCTTCTTCTCATCAGAGGCTCCGAATTCATAAAGATTAAAGCTCCACCTTTACCTTTAGATCCAACTTCTTGAGAGAGAGAGAAAGAGTTTTGTTTGGAATTCAGGAAAAGAAAGAGAGAAAGTGAGCAAAAAGGAAAGGCAGAGAACAAAAGTTGGAAGGAAAGAGAGATAAGAGAGGATATTGTGGTTGTGGCGGTGGCGCGTGAAACGGTGACGGTGGCGCGTGGGAGAGAAGGGAAGGAGGGAATAGGAAAGTGCGTGTCAAAGTTTGGCGAGGAATATCACATCATCATCATCTTTTCTTTTTCTTTTCTATTTCCATGAATTTTTGAAACGTTGAAGTCTATGACTTAAAACGTTTGGGAGACAGAAAAAAAAACACAGAAAGAGATAGGAGAGAAAGAGAGAGAGAGAAGGAGGAGAGAGAAAGTGTTTAATGAGGTGGCTGACGGCGACTTTATATGATTGCCTAGTGTAGGTCCACTCCACCACCACTCACGCGACGCTGTTTTTTTCAAATTGCGCACCACATGCCTTGTGGGCAAATATGTTGCCTAGTGTTTATGGGTAGCTTTCTATTAAGCATTTTCGCTAATTTAAGTTTTTAATTTAAATTAAAATATAATATTTTATATATTAATTTTTTATTATAATAAAAATATTAAATGTAATTATTTTTTAAAATTTTTTATTATAATAAAAATTTAAATTTAAATCGATAAAATGAATAAGATTATAGATAATACATATTTTTTATTTCCCTTTTTTAAGAAAATAGAAATATATTTCACATCAAGGTAATGTAAATATTAATATTGGTTAGGTAGTTTTTATGACTCGTGTAGTTCTCTGATTCAAGTTGAGATGTGACTTTATCTGAGAGCTTTTTACTGCAGTAAAAAAGTTAGATGTGAATGTTTCTGAGAGTTTTTTATTGTAGTAAAACTCAGATTTTGAACTCGAATCAGTAAAATGAACGTGACCTTAGACTGTTCAATAAGAGAGATCAATAGTAGAAAGGACAGACAGAGTTAAAAACATGTTATATATGCAATATATGAGTGAAGAAGAGGATTATGGTAATCCTTAGAGAAGTAAAGTGTAACTGAAAGAATGAATGATATTTATTTATTTATTCATACATTGACTATTTTTATTATTTATTAATCATTTCTATTGAAAGATTTTTTTTTCATTAAATTTCAGTGAATTTGTTGGATTCTTTTATTAATAGAATGATCTAAATTAATGAGTCTAGATTCTTTTATTAATAAAATGATCCAAATTAATGGGTCTCAAGGGAGATTCTCTCTCCATGCATGTCTCCTCTCCCTCCTTTCTCACTAACCAAACAAAACATTCACTCTTTCTTCAACCACTTTTCCTCCTTCTATCTCTCTCCTATCAAACATAATGTTAAAGTACAGGAAACTACAGCTTCAAATTTTAAAACTCTTTGATTATTTATATAATTTAAGGTCCCGTTCATTTCGCTGTTTCGAGTTTAGAATTCGAGTTTTTCTACAATAAAAAGCTCTCACAAACAATCTCATATAACTTTTTTGCTACAGTAAAAAGCTCTCACATAAAGTCACATATCAACTCGAATTCTAAACTCAAATCAGTGAAGTGAACGGGGTATGATCGAATTTCTAAAATTGTTTTATCCCGAGCTAAAAGAAATTTTCAGGGGCGTAAATTAAACTAGGTATTGAAAGTTTGAAGTGTTTAAAACTTATGTGTTTATATTGTTGATTTTTCTTTATTTGGGATGCTAAAGTTTTGAATGAATGTGTTTAATAATAAAAGATCACGTCACTTTTACTGATAAAAAAAATCTACATATCCTCAATAGTAACCCAATAGAAACTATAATGACAAAAAATTTTAGCACACTACACAGTTTCTCTTGATTTCTTACTTGCAAATTTAAATACCACTGCATATTGAATGATTAGAGCATTTTTCCATTTTCGTTAGAAAAACGTATAGAAGCACCACCATCGATTTTATATTGTTAGACTCATTTTTTATTAATGAGGTGCGGTTTTATATTGTTAGATTATGTATTGTTAAGCGTGTTTAAAATTCGTTCCAAAATAATTTTATTTTTTGTATGAAAATAAAAACGAAAACGTTTTCAATCTCAGACATAAATAATTTTTAAAAATGCGTTTAGTAGTTTTATCAAGAGATTATTTTCAGTGTAAAAAAACTCATTAATATCTCTCTTTATCTCTCTCTCTACTCGAAAGAGGATAAAACGAAGATAAAAAATAAAAAATGACTAAAAGTCATTTTTCATTTTTTTTCTCATTTTACACTAAACTAAAAAATCGTTTTTATTTTTATTTTTTGTCTTTATTACGCCAAACATCATTTTGAAAACGTTTTTATTTTTTTTCTTAAAAATTGTAAAAAAATAAAAACAGAATCAATTTCAAACACGGCCGTTCTTTCTGTTACAGTAACGTGCTGACATGGTATCTCAGTGGTAACATGCCGTGAGTTGTTATCTCTACAAAACATACACGAGTGTACGAGGGTACACGTAAGTTAGGCGGATGCGTATAGCTCCTTCGTTAGTGAAGAGGCAAAGACATGATATTTTTATTTTATTCGCCAAAAGTTTGAAAGATATTTTGCTTCCTTGACTTCTTCCGAATCATACAAAAACGATATAAGAGGAAGGGGAATTTCGAAATAAGATATAGAAAATGGTAAACTTTATTGAAACATATGTAACGAAATCATATGTTCTTATTGAGTTTTATTAAATTTTTAATGTTTAATACAACTTTTGATATAATTTAACTGTTTCGTAATTGTATATAACGCTTTTTTTTTTTTTTCATATACCATTGTATGGTTTTTATTAAAATAAATCAAATGTCATATTCATAATATCACGCCATATTCCTTCACGCGTCTAGTTTTATAGAGTAGATGTCTCCAAATGGGACGATCCAATCCTTTCATATCCGACTGAAATGATGTTGAGGATTAGCAGTTTCAAAGCACTCTTTGTTATAATTTTTTTTTGGAGTTGAAAATAAAATTACTGAAAAGTATATGTTTTCAAGAGTAAATCTATACAAAAAATTTATTTGTTTTATATATTTTTTTAATTTAATGTGATTTTGACTAAATCTAATGGTGATCTTACTAATAAAAAAACCTTAGAGAAACTCTTTTTTTTTAAGGGGAGGGAGGTTTAATTTCGCAAAAGGCCTTTGAAGTTTACCATCTATCCTTATTTAATTCATGCCTTTTCAATCGTTACATAGTTGGTTTTTAAAGTTTATATGTAAATTTAACTAGGTAGAATTTCTGTAAATTAGGAATCAAAATTAGAAATAATTAAAACTTTAGGATTATCTGTGGAATTAACTTTTATTTTTTGTATTATTTTAGTCCCTAAATTTTATAAGTTTTTAATTTTTGTCTTTAATTTTTACATATTCCGTCAGATGTTTACCATTGAACTAACAAAATGACTAAAACTGAAATAGAGTAAAACTTTAGGGATTAATTGTGAGACGTTTTAAAAGTCATGGATAAAAGTGGAATTGACAACCTCAAATACCATTTGTGAGATTAACATGTGCGTGTGTTGGACCTTGGGCTTCATTTCAATAAACATGTGGTAATCTTGATAAATACATCTTAAAAGTGCATGGGTCATGATTTTTACCTTTTATTCTTGATTCATAACTCTTTTAGTCAAATAATTACATTAATAAAAGGGTATTTATTAAGAGTAATGGCTAAAGATCTGGACTCATGCACTCGTAATTATTAAAAATAAGGGATAAAGATCTAGACTCATGCACTCGTAAGGATAAATTCTCCTTCTTTTTTTTTCATAAACGTGGATATAGAATGCGGAGTAGCCCTTAAAAATTTGTGTAGAGTTATTTGTGTTCCGTAGTTATAGGCTTAGTTTGGTAGTCCTGTGGATTTTAGAAAAAAAATACTTTTAGCTATGCTGAAGAAAGAAGCAGCTGTTACAAAAAGTAGCTGAGTGTTTGGTAAACTGTAATTATACTAGCTGTGCTGATTCCAAAATCAGTGTAATAACGTTTGGTAAATTGTGAGGTTGAATTATTGTGGGTACTTAAAATGATCAAAATAGACAAGGTATGAAATTTAGATATATATAATTATTTTTGGTATTTAGAAATACTTATTTAACTTAAAAGAAAAAACCATAATGCTATGATTCTGAGTTTTCTAACAATAAATTTATGATAATTAATTTTTTTTTTCATTTCTTTATTCACAATATAATTACAACAAAAAGGAACATTAGTGAGTAATCAACATATACAACAAAAATGTACATTCCATACTAAAAAACTAGTAGAGGCATGAAAAGAATTAAGTCGTGTTTATTAAACTTACTGCAATTTGATCTTTAACAGACAAAATAAAATAAAATTAATATGGTTGTTGGCACATATAATATGGTTGATATTTTCTAAGAGAATTCATGCCTTCCAGGCCAAAGATATATCATTCATATTAAACGCACAATATGTACTATTAAGACTGATGTTATAAAATAATAGACACCTGGAAATTGGAAATGATCAAAGTTTGAATTGAATTAAAATTTTCTCATATCGGGATGGAAAAAGCTTTGAATTTTCTTCTCCTTTAGTTTTGTATGTATCTTGGCGTTGAATTTGTATTTTAGATTTGTCATTTGGAAATTTATAGTGCTAAATGACAATCTTGTTCTATTTTCTCGTGTCAAATCTATCACAATGGTGTGTTGATTAACCCAACCAACTTCTAACAAAAACAAAATGAGGCAAACATTCACATTTAATAGTCTCAAATTATATATCAACCAAGTAGACAAAGACACATTAGTCATATTTACTTTTTGATGTTACTCTTTAGCCTGGTTTCAAATTGAAAGTTGAGAAATGGGCCTTCACATAGTTAGTATGATGTTGTTTTACAGTCAAGAACAAGTTTTTTATTTCTTTCCCTGAGTTTGGTTAATCAAACTAAGATTCAAAGAAGTGACATTGATCTATTCCGACTTTCGAGAAATAAATTCAGGGAATACCTAGTTGGCAATGTTGACAACATGTCTAAATACAAAACTAGTTATGATCCTCAAGCTCTCAGATGATGAAGTTTTCTGAGGATTAAAAGAAAAAACTAAGTTAAAAGAAATCACAGCTAACTAATAGCAAATTTTTATTGAGGGGATCTAAACTTTTTCTTCCTACGTATAACATTAATGTGAAAAGGAGCATCCTTTGCCTTAGCTTTTTTCCTCGTCTGATTGAGAGCATGGCGGCCCGGGAACAGAATCAGCAAAGAAGTCCTCAACTGAAACGAAGAAAAAGTTATTAGACAATGACCTTCACAAAGAAACAACATAGATAGACTAATGGCCCATTTGGTTCATAAGTTTGAAAATTAAATTTTGTGAACTGTAACAAAAAGGTTTTAGTTCAAACTTATAAAACAAACAGGGGCTAAAAATGTGCATCATGGAAATTAATGATGGGACATTAGTCTTATTATTCATATCTGAACATCACAAACTCATAAGCCCTTCTAGAAATTACAAACAAATCGTGTTTGCCTATGATTGAAGATCAAAAATCACTAAGATGTAAATTAAGAACATTTTTTCAACATATACAGTAGAGCTTACCTATATCATCTTGCTCTGGAGAGTCTAGTAAGATTTCAGAATCCGACGGTAGAAAAGGTGAACCAGAGTAGTTTCTCAGGGCACCTAAATCTGTAAAAATAACATGACACTATTGTTGAAGATGGAGCCTAATCATGCACGTAAGAAAAAGTGGAGAAAATGGTGCTAGGAAAGCTACACAGCAGCCTTGTGTTACAGGCCAGCGCCGTGGCGCTCCGAAAGAGGTCCGCTGGGTGCCATAATCTAACCCAGCACCTTACACAAGCCATAATCTAACCCAACTCTCAAATCGCTAACTTTCCATCATTTTCCCACAGATTCTCGGGAACCAAAAAAAAAAAAAAACAACTTTCCATCCTTTTCATGGGGTTTGCAAAAGAGGAAATGTTGGGAAAGAAGATGAATAAAATTAGATCAGGAATTAAACTTCCATCCTAACTCCCAAGACGCCAACTTTCCATCATTTTTCCATGGATTCTCGGGAACCAAACACAAAAACAACAACAAAAGATATAGAAAATGGTAAACGTTATTGAAACATATGTAACGAAATCATATGTTCTTATTGAGTTTTATTAAATTTTTTAATGTTTAATACAACTTTTAATATAATTTGACTGTTTCATAATTGTATATAAAGCTTTTTTTTTTTTTTTTCATTTACCATAGTATGATTTTTATTAAAATAAATCAAATGTCATATTCAAAATCTCATGCCATGTTCCTTCACGCGCCTAGTTTTATAGAGTAGATGTCTCTGAATGGGACGATCCTATCCTTTCATCCGACTGAAATGATGTTGAGGATTAGCAGTTTCAAAGCACTCTTTATTATAATTATTTTTAGAGATGAAAATAAAATTACTGAAAAGTATATGTTTTCAACAGTAAATCTATACTAGAAATTTGTCTGTTTTATATATATTTTTAATTTGATATGATCTTGATGATATTTAATAGTCAGAACTGATCTTACTGATAAAAAAACTCTTGAGAATCTTTTTTTTAAGGGGAAGGGAGGTTTAATTTTGCAAAGGGTTTCTAAAGTTTATCTTCAATCCTTGTTTGATCCATGCCTTTTCAATCGTCCCACAGTTAGACCTTAAGGTTTTATGTGTAAATTTAACTAAGTAGAATCTGTGTAAATTAGGAATCAAAATTAGAAATAGTTAAAATTTTAAAATGCTCTAAAAATAAGTTATAACAGCACAAATTTATCACAAGTTATTTGCAGTGTTAAATATGACCACATGCATAATATATTAATAATATGATAACATATATGTTTAGATATAAAAAGAAAAAAAAAGTGCCACCAGAAATCATTTTTTATCTATTAATTGGATACTTAGGTATAAGTTGGATATTTTGATTTTAGAAACAAATTAAAATAAAAAAGTAGTTCAATAACATTGTGTTTAGCATTGGTACTATTTGGTAGGGGTTAGAGCACAACATCACCACTACTCTTTCTTCATATATTGTTGCTATAGAATTTTGCATCAAGGCCAAGCTCGTCACTACCACTCTTTCTTCCTGGCTTCGTGCTAATTCCAAATGACATAAACTAGTTTTCTTTGTCAAGCATTATAATTGATATGTCAAACCCAAGACTAATCAACTTGAGTGGATTAGCCAAAAAAAAAAAAAAAAAAAAAACCTTGAGTAAGCCTATCAAAACAAGGATGACTATTCTTAACCATGCACCCATTAGGCATGTTTATTCTTTTTTTTTTCCCCCCTAAAATATACATTTTTTTTCCTCAAAGGGTGCAACACAAGAATTTTCCAAGAAGCCTGGCCCATCTTATTTCATTTTATTTTTTTTGGTTAAAGTATTGTCCACAAGTTAAAGTTGACTAACCAACCGATGTTGCTTCATCTCATCTCTCCAGTCTCCACCTTCTTCATCTCCAGTCATGCACTTGAACTGTATATTTCAACTTATAATATTAAGCTTACTTGGAAAATCCCTTTCCTTGTTATTGATACTGTTTCTTGATTCAGTCTAATGCCAAGAGGGAATCCCTCTGTTTTGAAGAACTGTCGGCGAACCGAAATTTCTACAACAAATTTACAAAAAAAAAAACGATAGTTGAGAAGTGAGATCTTGGGAGTCTAAGCACAAAAGAATCCATGATGATCAGGTACGTGTGTACATGTAGAAGTAAACGTACTTTTTACCCGTTAATTTAAATTTTTAATTTAAATTGAGATATAATTTTATGTGAGAATTTTTTACTGTAATAAAAAAATTAAATATGTAATTATTTTTTAAAATTTTTTACTGTAATAAAATTTAAATTTTAAATTTTAAACTTAAATCGGTAAAATGTGAACTTGGGTCAACGATCATTGATGCGCTTCATCTCCAATAAAATTTCATAAACGTTGTTAGCTTTCACATCTTAGTTGTAGTTGCTTGATCGTCTTTTTTTTTCTTTTTTTTTTTTTTTTCACCACCAATCTCTCTCTTTCAGGATGAATTTCCATCTCCGCCGAACCATCTTTGCCCTCCTGATTATCATCACAACGAAAATCTTTGTTGATATACAAACATATGTATTTGCTCAAGAAGATGAAAAATACGTGGCCTGCAACACACCCTTTAAGTGCGCAAACATGGAGGGCGTACTTGGCTATCCTTTCTGGGGTCCGAAACGGCCAGATTATTGCGGTCACCCGAAGTTTGAGCTGAACTGCAGCGGAGAGGCACCGGTGATCACCATTAATTCGACAGGTTATCGCGTGCTTGGGATTGATTCGAGGGAACATTTTCTCACGGTTGCTAGGACCGATTACTGGAACGATTCCTGTCCTCAAGAACACAAAAACGCCACCTTGGATTCCACCTTCTTTGACTACACTTCTGAAACTCAAGACCTGACACTGTACTACCGATGTTCATCAGCAGTTAGTGTTGGGGTTTCAAGTCAATTCAGTTGCCCCAATGACGGAACAACAGTTACTAATTTTTTTGCCACAGATGCTACAAAGAAATTGCTTTCAACATACAGTCCAACTTGCCAGGAAAGTGTGGTTGTTCGTATTTCCGACTCAGAAGCTGGGGTTATAGAAGAAGCTGTTAATGCATTGTTACAACCGAATCTGACTGCTGCGCTAGTTTCTGGATTTGTGATGGAGTGGGAAGCAAACAATAGCAGGTGTGATGAATGTGTAAAGTCCGACGGAGTCTGTGGATCCAATCACACAACCGGAGAATTCACCTGCTACTGCAAAGACAGACCTTATAAATTCATGTGTGGATCTGATTCGGTTACTCCAGGTTCCGGTACATGTAACATGCAATTTATTTATTCATTTTTTTTGTACCATCTAGTTCGATAACAAACTTTAAGTCTCAAATTGGTTTAAATTAAGAGCAAAAGGAACAGTGATGGAAAAGGAGTATGATTTAACGTTCCAAAACAAATGGTACTCTTGTTTAATAGCAATGGTATTTCTAGTTACCGTATGTTTTATTGAAACAGAGTGATGTCGTGTACATGAATATGATGGAGGGTATTTTAAGAATGGCCATATATGTAAATAATAACAATTGAATAACTTAAAATTCCTAAATTTATAAAAGCTAGCGGGAAAATATAATTTTGGTGGGAAAGTTTTCAAATAAGATAAAAAAATGATGTTGAATTCTGTTCATACGTGCTCGTAAGTCTGTCACTAACAATAAGAATTTCTATTATACCATTCATTTCGCATGAATTTACTCGTTGCCAGTTTCTTGCAGGATTTACTCGTTACCACTTACTTTCAAATGGTAGACGGATCATAGGTACGATGACCGTTGTCAAATCTTTACTTACTCTAGGACCACTTCTCTAACGAAAAATATATACCCTGACAATGTGGATGCTTAATTTTCTTCTTTACTTTGCTCAACGAGATTTCAAGAGATCGTTGTCTAAATGTAGGCATTGGGGCTGCTGTGTCGGGGATCGTTGTATTTTCCATTGCGATCGCATGCTACTACAAGAGAGAAAACATACGGAGCACAAGAATAGTTATTTGGAAGACAAACACAAGAGATCAGGAGTTTGATGTGAAAGCATTTATAAGGAATTATGAGCCATTGGCCCCAAAGCGATATAGTTATGCAACAGTGAAGAAGATGACAAAGTCATTTGCAGAAAGGATCGGTAAAGGAGGGTATGGCACTGTATATAAAGGTAAGTTACCTGATGGTTCTTTGGTTGCAGTAAAACTGCTAAATGAGTCCAAAAGTAATGGAGAAGAGTTCATCAATGAAGTCGCAAGCATTGGTAGAACTTCTCATGTTAATATAGTCACTCTCCTTGGATTTTGTTATGAGAGGACAAACAGAGCTCTTGTTTATGAATATATGCCCAACGGATCACTAGACAAGTTCATATTCACGCAAGAATCTTCGAGTACAAACCGTCACTTAGAATGGAAAACATTATATGAAATTGCGATTGGCATTGCACGAGGGCTAGAATACTTGCACCGAGGCTGTAACACGAGGATTTTGCATCTCGACATAAAGCCTCAAAACATTCTTTTGGACGACGGCTTCTGTCCTAAAATTTCTGATTTTGGGCTTGCCAAACTCTGGCTAACGAAGGAGAGTATCGTGTCTGCGGCGGGAGCTAGAGGAACTATAGGATACATTGCACCCGAAGTATTCAGTCGGGCCTTTGGTGGAGTATCTCATAAATCCGATGTTTATAGCTATGGGATGTTGATTCTTGAAATGGTTGGAGGTAGAAAGAACTTTGATTCTGCAGCGTCTCATACTAGTGAAATATATTACCCAAATCGAATTTATAAGGATCTAGAAATGGAAAATGAAGAAAGTATCTTGGGGAACATAATGGACGGAGAGAACGAAATATCAAAGAAGATGTTGTTAGTGAGTTTCTGGTGCATTCAAACAAACCCGGCTGATCGGCCATCGATGAGCAAGGTGGTAGAAATGTTAGAAGCAAGTCTGGAGTCCATGGAGTTTCCACCAAAGCCATATTTGTTTTCTCCGACAATGTCTCCTTAACAATACACAACACTTTCACTTTAAGAGTTGGCATCCGCAATACTTTCAGTCTCTGCCCTTTCCTTGACCCCTAGCCTAAGCATTGGGACTGGTGATTTTTTTTTTTTTAAACTTATATCGTTCTTTTAGTTTGTTCTTAGAAATGGGGTTAGTTTCGTTGGACATCTATGCTCAATTATCTACTTTGTTATTAACATTTTTTCGTGTTTTGCACTCTCTGATTTCTTAACTAGGCATGCACATAGATTTGCTATCAGTAGGCAACTCTCGTTTTAGTCTTCTTAATGTTTTTCTTTCTTGGTAGTAAAAAAGATGGAAATATATGAGAAATTTATACATGTAGACCAGTATTATAGTTTCATTCAGAAAATATTAGCATCTATTTACTTCATCAATTGTATAATAAGATATTTTAAGTGCATAATACCCCGTTTAAGTTAAAAGAGCCACCACAACTAGGAAGCGTACTGTTGTCTAGTAATACCTACTATTTTACATTGACTAATAACTGGCACTAATACCAGCTAAATTTTTGTCCACCTGAGTTATTTTTAGGCGCTTGCAACCATATATTCACTCTTTACTGATACATTCAACAACAATTTAGCTACAAAGGTTACACATTTCACGAAATTAACTTCACCTGACATATGGAGCGTGCTCGCGTATTAAAGGTGTACTCATCCAGGGATATATATATATATATATATATATGGCCACTCTTGCCTCGTTTATAACAAATCGAAGGGGAGAATAGTAAAAAAAAAATTTATAGTCTTTAGTTCGCTGATTCGAGTTTTTACTGAACCTCAGAAAATACGCTGGTCGTGAAAGTGGTCGGAGGACAAGAGAGTTGGTACTTAGCATCAGAACAACTGAGCCCACATTTGGTCTATCCGCTACTTTTTCTTGCACGCATAACAGCCCAATTTGGATGCATCTTATTATTTCATTTCTTGAAGCTTCCCTCATTGTGGGATCTGTAAGTTTCATAGCTTTACCCTCATTCCAACATTTCCATGCCTGCCATGATCACAATCATGCAGAGAGTTAGAAAATATTATAGATAAATTTCATTGTTACAATAATATGTTTTACAAGTGCATAAGTTATCAAATCCATACATAATTGCCAAGATTATAGTGCTTACATAAGTTAGGAGACTCTCTACATTCTCTCCTTCACGAAAATTTTTGACTTTTTATCCACACACAATCTCCATAACCAAAACGCTGAAACTAAAGACATCAGACTTAATTGAAAATTGTCCATGTCTAGCATATTCCGGAGCCATATATCCACTGTATGTCAACAAATTCACAAGAAAATATGGAAGGAGAGTTTCACTTTTCAAGTAAGAAAATACACACATATACGTATAACTTTGTAGGAAAATTTGATCTTTTAGTGACGTTAGTTACTCACAAGGTCCCAACAATTCGCCTTGTTCTTTCGTTACTTTGATCACAAGCAAGATAGTCTTGCTGTGCCAAAATCAGCAATTTTTGGATTCATTTCTGCATCCAACAAGATGTTACCAGCTTTGAGATCACGGTGAACAATTTTGAGATGGGATTCTTCATGAAGGTAGAGGAGCCCTCGAGCAATGCCTATTATGATCTTGAAGCGTCCGTCCCAATTTAAATTTTCACGCTCAATTGGATCTACATTCTTAAACAGATACAATGATTAATTCAGTTAATAGAGATATATTTTGCAGTGCTCAAATCATATTAAGAGCAAATTCTAAAGACTACTATTCCTAAGGTGATAAAATGCCCACATACCAAATATAAAGCGATCAAGACTTGAGTTTTGCACAAACTCATAGACAAGTAATCTTTCATTTTTCTCCAAGCAAACACCTATGAGGTTGACTAATTCCGGTGTCCAAGCCTTGCAACCAATGGGACCTCGTTCTTAAATTCTAGATCTCCTTGTCCAGGATGGTCAGAATCCATTATCAGCCTCTTCACTGCAATGTCTTTTCCATTGGAAAACCTACCCTGAAAAATATGGCATAGATTCTTCACTAAGTACGTGTTATATAAATAATATCATTTTTTTTTTAAAATGGCGTTTTCATTACCTTATAAACCGCACCAAATCCTCCCTGTCCGAGCTTGTTTTCATCAGAAAAATCATTTGTTGCATAGCTAATCATGCCAAAGTCGAATTGCAAGCATTCTGCGTCGATGTCAATTTCTTCCTTCGCTTCACAGGAGAAACGAACCGACAGTCCAGTTGTTAAATAATTTTACGATGTTGTATCAATTTATCACAAGAAATGTTCGTATTGGATTTATAACAACAATCTCAACTTACTTTCGCGTTTCTTTTTCCTCATTCTCATTCTTGAATAAAGGCAGATGCTAATTAGTAGTACCAGAAAGGCACAAACAGACGGCACAACTACAATGGCCGCACTTGGTGATGTAGCTTTCTTTTTCCCTGAAAAAAGAAAGGGAAAAAAAAAACGAAAAACATAAGAAAAAGAAATTTCCAATGTCGTGTAAAGAGTTGACTTTTGAAACTAGTCTCAACGTTTGAAGAAACTCTGTTTCTAGCCAGACTTCTTGCCAAGAAAAAAAATAAAAAAATAAAAACCTTTCCCGGCTCTTATGCTATCGGTCGGCGGTGGCGGTTGATCGGTAGGTGTCTCAGCAGCTAGGTCATGTAAACGATCGAGGGCATCGTTAATCATACAGCTAGCAAAGCAACATACACGCCGAGACTCCCATAACAACATTTCTCAAGCTTTCCAAGAGCCGCAGTTGCACAATTATCGCAATCTTGGCCTGACAAATCTGGCGTGCACTGTACGAGCGCATAAACTATTTCAAGGTAATTCGGAACAGTCGTGTTTCCCACCGCGTACTTAAGAGAAGAACCGACTTCTCAAATTCTCAAATAAGGCCATGAGTTTTTGGTTGAACCCATCCAAGTTCAACAAGACATTCTGGTCGTTTTTCACATCAAGAAAAGGATCTGTCTCCACGGTGCCTGACAAGTTGCGGTCGGAGAAGCGGAATGTGCATTTTTCGTACCATCCGATGGCCTCCTTGTGATTAGGACAAAGCTGAGGGAGAAGGCGCGCAGAGTCGTCGAGGCAGCCGCGGCAAACATCTGCCTCAACATATCCTCTGCAGAGTCCAGTGGCGTAGACTTTGTCAGGGTTTTCGCCACGGGATGAAGCGTAAAACCCGGCGGTTGAAGTCACGGTTGGAGGTGAAGGAAGAGAGGAGGGTGTAGAGGTTGGTCTGGTAGGTGCTGTTAGTGGTATAATTACCTTGCTTGCTCAGACAAAATGAAGAAAAGCAGTGTTGAAGACGACTTGGTCATGGTATTCCATCTAGTTATCTGGGAAACCGGCATAGTTACTTATGTTTGGTGATATATCAGAGAGAAAAATATTGGTCACTCTAATTGGTTGGATCTAGCTTACCATTTTCTTCCTTTCTTTTTCTTTTTCTGAAAAATATTGGTTACAAAATATTTCCGCACGCATTTGTGGAAGCGCGAAATATTGCAAGTCATAGACTTGGCGGTTATAACTGCGTTCAAACGACTAAGTATAAATCTAATTATTGCTTTAACGTAGAAACAATATATGGATTAACCATTGTGTGGTGGATTGTTGTTGGGGTTGGAAGGGAGGCAGAAAACTCCCGTCCCGCCCCCTGAAACTTAAATTTTATATGGGCAATTTAGGGACTGAACAATTGTCTCGGTTTATTAGTTTTACTTTACAAACAAAAGCCGTATTAGGGTTGATTAGAGAGAGATTAGAGAATATATAAAGAGTTACGTGATGTGCGATTTTCTCTTTGTAAATTTATTCTTCATGATTGTGGATTTTTACCGTCTTTTTAAGCAAATGTTTAGAGTTTTATTATTTTTAAGTTCTACTGAATATTAAGGGGATTTAAAGAGTGATTTTGGGTAACTCTCTTCGTGCAAATATTTTACTTAAGGTGATCTTAAATGGGACCTTAATGGTAAAGGATAGTGAGGAACTTACTAAGCATGTTGTGTCAAATACTTTCACTAATTATCAATTTGCTACTATGATACTTTAGAAGCTTTTTACAAATAATCATTACGGAATGATTTTTAACACGTGACATAGTAAACACGGCTACATAGATATCTAGTGACCATCTTTCAAGTGTCACACATTTGTGGGAAAGTAATTAATAACCTCGGAATGATTTTTATATAAAGTAGCGATCAAAAAGAAATGTCTCACCACATATCCTCCGGCAAAACAAAAGAAAAGAGAGAAAGGGAAAGAAAGGAAAAATTTAGAAACGAAAATAGGGAGTATTCTACCTAATAAGTTTCTTATGTAAAGTACACTTTCCACTGCATTACTTGAACATTAATATGATTTAAAAGCGTGTTTCAATTTTATGTAACGTTTTGTGATATTATGATTATATAAGTTATATTGTAATCATGTTTTTTAAAAGTTTTATGAAGAGTACTATTTTAATGTGTATAAAGTGAACTCTTATGTTTATTATGAACTAATCAGTTAAAGTTATAGAGGCTAAATCCTGAGGAAAAAGTTCCAAGATAGGAGCCATATGTAAAGGATACTTCTAATAAATATGAGATTAGCATCATACAAGAGGGTTCTAAAGCTAAACTTTGAAAAAAAAAGTAACTTAAAGTGAATTTATATGGTTTACTTACAAAGAATATGTTTACATAATTCTTGTCATCATGAGGTTTTAGAATCACATGACCAGTTTATTTTACAGTTCGGTTTTATTTGTAACTTGTTGGAATTTTGTAAACTTGTATTATTTCAATATAATAGTTCCATGATGTTTGTACTACGGTTTAAGATCACTTGATTCTATGGTCGTCCATAGCATCAAGGAAAAAAAAAAGGAATATGTAAATGCAATGTAGCAATCTTCTTGGATTTACCCTTTCCATCGTATTTTATAATCAATGACAAAAGAGTATAATTAATTGATATCAAAAGAAGTCGAGACATGTCTCAACTAGGTTGCTACCTCCTAATTTACGAATCGTGTATTAAAATCTCTACTCAATTTTATTAATAATGTAGAAGAAGAAGAAAGAAAATAATAATAAAAAAAATACAAGAGTCAACCTGACAAAGGGCCTAAATTAACAAGCAAAATAAGAGAGAAAGAAAGAAATAGGTCAAGACTTGAGATGAATTAAAATTAATAAGTTAATAGTTTACATAAGTTAATAAATAGGCTAAATTATTGTTTTTGTCCATAACTTGTCTGGTTATGAAACATAACTTGACAAGTTATTGTCCATAATTTACAGTTTTTATCCATAACTTGTCTGGCTATGAACCATAACTTGACAAGTTTGTCCATAACTTATTTGGTTATGAACCATAACTTGTCACAAGTTATGGTCTATTAATTTCTATAACTAAAAATTGGCCTATATACTTTTTTGAGCTTTTTATATTGGCTTATTTTCTACTATTTCCGGCAAAATAACTACCTTTATGCTTAAAAAAGTCTCATTATAACCTTTCAGATAAAAACACAATAAGGAAAAACAAGATAAGAAAAATAGCTCTCTACATTTACTATTTGACACGTCTATGTCTATAACTAGATACATCTGGAGCTATAAGAGATGCACAAGTTAGAAGAAGTCCATTACCGCATCTTCTATATGAACCGTTTTAGCTGGTGACTAATCAGCCACCCGATTACCATCATGACAATTGTGAGAGACAACAAAATGCATTGTTCAAAAGAAAAAAGAGCGCCAATGATCCAACAAGCTTTGTACTACAATAACAACCATCAATTCAGCTTCAAAGGCAAAGGTATTGCCTATACTAATAAAGATAAACTCGATGGATAGTTTGTCTAATTTTTCGTCTTGGATGTCTTTTTCTAGCTAGTCTGATGATTTTTATTTTGTAATTTACTCGTTAGAGCCATTTTCAAAGTTTTAACTCTTAATTTAACCTCTATTTAATAGCGTTATAAAGTTTTGCGAAAAACAATATTATTGAGATGGTGGGGCCAATTCAATTAAGAAGTCCCCAATAATTTTAAATTCTAATATCTTCTACTTTTGAATTAAATAATAATATTGATAACGATAACAATATAACAGTAATAGAGTGTCTTACTGTGCAGGACAGTTCTGTTTGATTCAGTGGATTTGTACGTTGACCCGTTCACTTCACTGATTCGAGTTTAGAATTCGAGTTGAGATATAATTTTATGTGAGAGCTTTTTACTGTAACAAAAAAGTTAGATGTGATTGTTTGTGAGAGTTTTTTACTGTAGAAAAACTCGAATTTTAAACTCGAATCAGCGAAGTGAACATGGCTAATTTTTGGCATTAACGGAAAATGCAGGTGTGAACTTTATAATCATGACCGGTTAGGTAAGCTGGTAAGCTATCAATTTGAGAAAGTTGGATAGGAAAACTGGTCATTAATATTTAGATTAGTTGGTTGGTTTAGACTTTTTTTTTTTAATTATTTCTTATATTTTAGCATTGGATACAATGAAAGAGATCCCTAAATAAACAATTAATTAAGACTCTAAATTTCTATCCTGAATCTAACCCACTTTAAACATGTAGAATCCGATTTATGATTCCGATTGTGGGCAATAAACATGCTGATTATATAAGGACAATCAAAGCAGCCATGTAAAAAGGGTGTTGATCTTCTGATCGTAATTAATGCTTGCTCTATCCATGTCCAATAATTGTTAGGACTTGAATATATATACATTGCTTACTTTCATTGTTTTCGTCTGATATTGTCGACAATTTGACATGCTGCATGTCTGAATTTTTCAAGGCAGCCTTCTGAATTTAAGAAAAATTAAAATAATACAACTGCGTACGACTTTTTTTTTTATCTATAAAAAGGACTTTTGAAAAAAAAAAAAAAAAAGAATGTGTGGCATTCCAAATATTACTTTGCTTCCGAAACTTGGTAAGGCACCACTTGGTATCTTCGAACTTTAAAAAA